ATAAACTGTCACAAAATATATGAAATATTTCTCTGCATATTTTAGGTTTGCCGTTGTTGCTACGAATGCATACACATTAACCGGCACACCTACACATTTACCGCTATTCCAGCATTTGTAAATGTCCTTGCATATCAACTTCGCATATGCCTGGTTAAGTTGGGTTCGTGCGTTTCCCGCACCTATTTTGCTACTTTCGCTGCAGCAATGCAACGCAGCTGCATGCAGCACATTCGCCCAGGCTAACAGAGTAGCGTACGTGAGATATGGTGGCATGCTGGCAGCCAGGCACTTGCTTACGGTAGTAAAAATAAGCTCATAAACTTTTCAACCTACCACTTCATGCGTAACCTAACTCCGTAATTACATTAACGCTTATCAACAGGCGGCATTGAAAATGAAAGAACTGTCTGATGAGAGCGGAGAGCGCCAAAGATAAATGTGCAGTGTGAGCAAATACAATTGTAACTGGCATAAAATGAGCTAAAAATGTGAGAGTGACGGCATAATAAGGATATGTGTATAATTTGAGGATACAAGTTCGCTCACTGTTCCAATTCTCAGCATTCCTACGTAGGAAGCAACAATTATACGTTTGGTGAGCGTAGTTTATAAATAGTACACACTCGCACTTGTGCGCTCTTCGCACTTTTGTATACCTTTTTGTCGCTACTTAATGGCGCCTAACCTGTAATAAAGGTGAATGAAGTAAGCAGCAGCAGCAGCGACAACGACAACAGCGGCAATGAAGTTGCCGAAGTATATGCTACGAAGTTACTACTGCTGAGTATAATTTCTGTTATTTATTTTCGTTATCTTTTGCCATTTTATTTTTCACTGCTGTAGCAACAAAGTTGCGCATTACTCCTTTCGCCCGTGTGTGGGTGTGCTGCTTAACGATTACCGCTCTTTCGTGCATGTGCATGTGTTGGTGTGTGTGCGCTTTTTGTAGGCACCTCCCGTGTTGCAAAGGTGAGAAAAAAGTAGCAAAATGTAATCAATAATTTTAAATATTTAATGTGCAGGTGAAACGAAATGGAAATTGAAATGTTTCTCTTCACCTGGTATTCAGGGGTTCACCAGTGTGAAGTAAGAAGTTTCACATACAAAATTTTATCCACGTAGATTTGACAGTGAAGCATGTACTAGATTAAGGAAAATGAGATTTATAAGGCGAGCATATTTTTATGTGAAATAAGTGAGATGTAAAACTAAAGTAATTTAATTTTGTAAGGTTCTTAAGTAGGTTGCGAGCTCGTTTCGTTGATCGGCGCATAAAAAATATGCACGAAAGGAATAATTCAGTAATTTAATTCGCTGAAATCTCTAGCTGAGTTGAATTATTTTAAACATTACCATATAATGCACATACATGTATATTACAGCAATCTACAAAAATAACAAACTACGAGAGGATCTGAACACTCTCACGCACTCGATAAAAGTAACCATGAACTGGATACCAGCTAAAATTCCACCGATGTCTTTTTCCCCCCAAGAAGCTGCTCATTTATCGGAACCACCGATACCGGACCTAACTACGACTAACTGGCATACAAACTGATTAATCAAAATCAAGTCCCTGCATGAAAAATTTTTATATGACGAGATATACTCACGATATTCGATCCGGATTATTGCCCAAGCCCATGCTATAATCTTTAAACATTTAGTTCATATGGGTCCACTATAGCAAATAGCTGCCGTATAAACTGACTGATTAAAATCAAGCCCTTGTATGGAAAATTTTCTTTATTTGACAAGCCAATACAGCAAGCACTTAAGATATTGTTCAGGTCGGACCACTATAGTATATAGCTGCCATACAAACTGATCGATGAAAGTAAAAGAGTGAGCGAGAGCGTTGCAATCGACAAAAAATTCAAGAAAATATCAACCAGATTGAAGGACACTTTTATTATAACTTTCAAATTACCCAATAAATCTGCGTACTTACCAAAGTGCCGCTGTTAGGTCTTACTTCGTAAGGAGTATTACAGCTTCAGTGGAGCTGATGTTAAAGTTTTTTCATAATTAACTTATATTCGGCAGCAGTGAGATCTGAGAATTCTTGAGAAAAATGTTCACTCAAGAGTAATACTGGAACTAAACAGCTCAGACTTATATTATGGTTAAAGCTATTCGAGATTACTTCACTTTATAACTATTTGTGGATACATCAACTACATAGACAGAATCGAATTTCCGGCTGAAATTACCGTTCTAAGGCAGAACTTGCCACTGTTGTATAACAAAATATTTCTTAACACTTAAGCCGGGTCGACGGAAAACTTAAGTTTAGCCAAAATTCAACTTTTTTTTACTGAACTTAACTGAACTACTGTCGATTTGGTAAGCGCTGTTTAATACCGAAGATTACCTCGAGTAGTGAGCTACTTCGACATTTTATTACTTCATTGGTTATGAATCCAATCCAAACAGGCGTTTTATGCTAGAGTATTTTCAAAGTAGCATTTTATTTTTATTGCAGCCTACGATATAACAATTTAAACTTTCGTTATAATTATGAAAATTCGAGAACTTGGATTAATAGAACATATGAAGATCTCGAAAATTGTTTTCACATACACAAATCTCTTCTCAAAGTAATGAAAGAAGTGTGGCTAAAGAAAACTGTGAACCAATTGCTTGCGCTAATTTCAACCAATATGTACGTAAGCCTTTGCTCTAGTAGCCTATAATTATAATTTTATAATTATCTCTTATCACTTTTTGGGTGGAGCTGACTTAGTTTTCTTTATGATGTAAAAAAAAAACCTTTATTATGTGGCAAAGTATCTTTGAAAGTTTACAAAATGGTTCTACCTTCGAACAGATAGTTTTCCTTGTCGCTTTCGTCTCTACCTTTAATAAATTAACCTTATAACTTGCATCGAAATATTTTTCATTTGATATTACTAAAGACCGTTAGGTCTAACCTAATCTAATATAACCTAAATACTGAATCTTAACCTATGAACCCGCGCTGAAATTATAAAATTTTTTGCAAAATATTGATGGTCATAAAATTATTTAGAATACCTAATTTTAGCTTGATTTTACTTAAAACAATGTTTAAAGAAAATACTTTTTCAGTTAAAATAAAAATAATTTATCAAACTTGAGCAAAATTAACTTTAAACAGATTAACAAGCTAGTAATTATGTTAATTTTATTACTGAAAACAGAGAATAAAATTGTAAATTAGCATTATCTGTTAAAATTCTCTATTTATCTTATTCATATTTTATTCTTTAACATTCTCTGCTTTAATAATTTGTCTGTTAAACAAGCAACATTTCATAACGGCGAAAATTTTGGTGCAGAATGTTAAAGAAATATACCAACATTCGTAAATAATGTTAACGAAATTCTACTCAGATTTGGCCTACACATTTTAGACCAGTTGCGACCAATTATGAGATATTCAAATAATCCAAATTACCTTCAAAAATGAAAATACCACCCGATCAAATTGGACCCAGACTGACGACTACATTTTCACGTATTTTAATACTAAGGTTTATTATCAGCTCCTTTTGAGCCAATACATGCCAACGTTGCATCCAAATTTCCATATACATTTCTTATAAGCCGCGGCGGGATTGCCTTTAGTGTCTTCATCGAATTTTTTTTTCGGGCTTGGCTCATTTTTGGAGCGCCATTGTTGAACAGTTTTAAAGTTGGTTTATGAATCCAATGTATCTGTGCGTTTGATGAATGTAAGGTTATCAGCTATGTTGAGAAGCATCTCTTCTCGAAGTCGTTTTTGCAAAAGATTCGTGTCTGGCAAGCTTCATACCCAAAACCTTAACCCAAATATTTTGAGTCGATTCATAAGAGATGTTGAAGATGTTTTTTATTTCTCTGATGCTAATTTTTCGATGTTGTCGTCAGTTACAGAAGGGGATGCACGACTCGCATGCGGCAAGTTTCGAAGACTTGTTTCTTTTTTTTTTTTTTGCATAAAGAGGAATTTCTTGTATTGTGTTCGATTCACTACTTTCCAATGCTTGGCGAATCGAAGACATCTGTTATAATATTAACACATTGCCTGTTAATAACAGTCGCTGTATAATAGCAAAAAAAATGTTAATAAAAATATGATCAGAGAATGTTAATGAATTAAAATGAATATTCATTAACATTCTCTGAAATGGCATACATTTTATAACAATCTCCGCTGTTGCTAACAGTTTTTGTTAAATGGAAAAAGTCAGAGACTCTTATACGAATGTTATCTCAATAAGAAACAACTGTTTGTTTCGTTAAGTTTATCTTTTGTGCTCTCACTGCATTCAGTTTCTCTCTATTTATAATGCTCACAGCAATGAACAGCTTGTTTACACCGGCCCAACGTAAATATAAACACCCACAAGACAGCGTTACTGCTGCTGAACGAGCCGGTGAGAGTAATTTTGTAAATTCTACGGTAAATACATATGTATGTATGAGTGTGGCGCTCAGAGCAACAACCGAATGAGTTTGGATTTACTCAACAACTTACACCTTTGCGTGGTCGGCAATGCTCGAAACATTACAGGATTAAATGTTGTTGGAGTAAAATATAAATGTAACAACAACAAATCGGCAGCATTTTCATCATCGTTTGCGCTCTTGTTATTAAGCTTTACTGTTATAGCTTTACTGTATTTAGCAACAAGCACGAACCGAAATACACGACAGGTACAATTTTTCACCTGCTTTCCACAGCACGCTCTCTCACAAGCATATACGTACACATACAGCCACAAAGCTTATGCGATTTACTTTAACTGCTTTTGGCGAATAAAAGTAAATTGCAAAAACAAATATTTGCGCTCACAATTTCGTCGTTTCGTTGAATTCGCTCAGCTGCCCTTTTTCCCAATAAGCAAACAGTAGTTTAACAAGGAGATTCTTACCAGCAGGAGTACAATGTGCCATTTTTGGCGCTCGCCTCTACCAAAAGTTCACCGTTACAGCATACATACTTATGTATATACAGAATTTAGTTGCTCGTTTCGTCGTTATTGCGATAACATGGGAGCACATCGTTTTTACAGTTAGGCCATATGAAATTCACACAGACATTGTTGTTGCTCCAAGGAAACGGAAATTGCACGCCAAAAAAGCCAGTCGAAGCGAAACTCTTGACAAAGTTGAACGCGTTTTATGTTTGTGGCCGTCGGAGTGCGTTTTGTCGTCGGTTGCGGTACATTTTTGCGTTTTTTAGTTCTTTTCGGGTGGAAAGAATCTCGTTCGTTCGTTCGCCTTGCCGCGTTAGCTACCGGTCGTGTGTGTGTGGCGCACCGTATTAGCTCAAACAGGCGTGCGTGTGCTTGTCGGCCACGCGCACAAAGTGGCGTCTAGACGTTACCCACGCTAATGGAAATTTTCGGCTGCTCTTAGGATATAATACAAGAAATTTGCATAAAAATTGTGGTGCTTTGTGTGTTTGTTATGTGGTGGTTCTAAGCACAAGTGTGTTCTACCTTTAATTGTTGACCGCATCGACTAAGTGAAATATATTTCCGAAGGTCCAACATAATAGTGCGCTGAAGCTTGTTGTAAATACTGTATGTAAATCTAAAATTTAGTATATACATACACATATATATATATATATATATATGTATATATATATTGACAAATGTAACTCTATTGTTTGCTCAAAGTAATCAATAATTTTGATAAACTTCTTTGATAAATTTGCAAAACTTTGGACGGCGGCTTCATTGGAAGCAAGCAGTGCCAGCCAGCGGTGAAAGTGACTCATATCGAGGTAAGTTTTGAATACTTTCTAGCACAAAAATGACATTTCAGAGCTTGTGTTGTGGAAGTATAAGGTCGGTTATATTTTATTTACGTGAGATTTCATTAATCATTTTGACTGCGATTTTTATAAATAATAATAATAATACTGTTAAAGCTTTCTATATACATATGTGTATGGTATTTATATATGCATATAAATGAAACAATTTATAGACATATTATATTTCATAAAATATATGGAGTTGCAGATTAAAGACAACCAATAATCGATTTGCTCTTAGCTTAAAGCTTAAAAGATTTTTAATATGACCAATAAAATAAATGTTGCTTTGCAAGTTATTTTTGTAAAAAAAAATTATGTATGTGATAGCTCTCTTAGCTAGAGCGAAACGTCAAATTTTTTGGAAATGCTTTCAGTGTTAAGAATGGATAACTTCATTACATACTTTCTTAAATATTTGTCAAAAATCCATGTTCAGTAAAATACTTTGTACCTCTCTGAAAATTATATACACAATTTATAATAAGAGTATGCTTCGATTAAAGTCTTCAAAGTTTTGACGGCGTCAGACTCCTATTTGCAGTCTCATTCGCTTAAGAGTCGATTATAGGAATAATTTTCTCATATAAAATGATGTTGTGATAATATCTAATAACTATTACCGAGTTAGGTAAGAGTTTTAGCTGTTATCGCAGCACTCTTTTTGTCCTAAACACTATTAATTTTAAGGTAAATAATTTTGCGGTATTGTGATTGAAACACCTCAAATGATGTTAAAAGGTTATTTGATAAGAACCTTAGTCAAAATGTAGACATAGTTCTTAGACATCTGATAAAGAAAACAGTATATTCACAGCTCTATGTATATTTTGTTTCGTTCCCTTACCGTAAGCATTTTATAGATCTTATATTGATATAGCATATTCTTGTCCATATTTTTATTCGGCAGTATTATTATACTTCTAAAAAAACCTAAAAAATAGTGTGATAACCGAACACAGCATCTTTGAAACCACTGAGTATTTCACATACTTCAAAAAGTATATTCCTTTAGATTTTTCACATACACGCATTCATGTCGTAACACCTCTTGTTCTAAGTTTCTTATTTGGAGTGAGATTTGTTGGCAAGTGAATTGCTGACTACGCCGAATATATATACCCAACATATAATATTGATCCCACACTCTTCACCTTCTAATATTACACACACCCACATTAACTCCTTCCACATCACATGCGTTTCAATTACAACTCCAACTTGTACTCGAAGCTAATATATGTATATGTATGTAGGCACACTTGCATTACCTCCTTATGCGCGAGTGCTTACACTCACGCCCTTCCCTTATCCTGCCTAGGCAACCGTAGCCACTTTCGTTAGCAGCCACATTATTTCCGCCAACAGCCAAATGCCAAATGCAACACTTTATTTTCGCTTTCTGTTTCTGTTTTATTTTCTTGGCGACATTTGCCACTTACGTTGCAGGTCTAAGTAAGCATTGCCAATATTATTATTGGAACAGACATTTGTTATTGTATTTCAGTTACTTGGTGCTTTTGCCATATGTAGCAGACGCGACTACCTGGCTTGCCAACACTTTTGAGGTAATAAAAAATTATTCCGTATAGATTTACTTTTGCCAATTTTATGTTTTACATATTTTTTTTTGCTTAACAAATTTTTTATTTTAGACATAAATTTCATGTAAGTTAATCTATCCCTTCCAAACTTTAACCTTGATTCTTATTTTAATATCTAACACGTATATTAATTTTGAACTCTTCCACTTCATATTCGCCCTTAATATTTTGCCAATTACACTGTACTTTCTCTGCGGTATAAACGCTGTAATTTATATATATATGTGTGAGCATTAGTATTCTCTCTCTTCACTCACACCACTTTTAATGTTCTCACTGTTTTTTCTGTCAACGCCAACGTTCGCGCATTTGCTTTGTTTCTGTTTCTTTTGACGTTTGACCTTCCCTCCTGTTGCTGTCATTCACTATACACGATTTCTGTGTTAAGGGTTTGTTTTGATTTTTGTTACCGGCATTCTGACAGCTCTAAATTCTATATCGCTTTGTTGCTTCTTTTATTTGTTGCAGAAGTTTTGAATTTGTGCTTAATATCAGTTCTTATTCATTTAACAATCCCCTTAAATTTCAACAAAATAACTTGATAGCTTCAGCTATACTGTCTTTTAAAAAATGTTTTGAGCTTCCTTGTATTTTTTGAATTTTACTTAAAACTATAACCTTGGGGATCCATAATTTACATCGTTATTGGCTTCAATAAAGAGTCTTAAATAATTGCCCACATTATACGTTTCAGTGTCTAGTACATTTGCTGCAGGTATTACCCCTAGACTGGTAGAGTTGTAGAAATTTCCTTCTCGTTGATGTTAAGGTTATACTGCCTTTGCTCGGTCGCTAGTGCCTCATTCGTAAGGAACAGTATGTACCGCATGAAGGGGAGTTTGACGTTTGCAAGGGCTATTCTATTTCTTTCCATGATCACACCCCATTTTCTCATATTATGTGGCGGATAATCGGCCAACTTCGATGCATTATATTTCACCTATTCACTATGAGAAAGTATATATATGTTATAGTAGAATGAATCAATAGTATGCACCAACCTAGGGTCAATGTTATGTATGTATAAATAAATCTTCCAGAGAACCGTTACGTACCATTTTTACTGATAGTGTTCTAGGGAATAACTCTCCGTGATGGCATTGTAATCTCATTCATTATTGTTTTATACTAAGAGATGACAATTTCATACAAGAAATGTTCAAAACAGGGTTAAAACTACTCCCGCGCATAAAATATTAAGTTTACTCTAAGTCCTCCTACTGTAAAACTGTCAAACTTTCTTAATAATTGTAAACAAAAACACACCTCTTTGTTTGTTAATGCCTTTTTTCTCAGAGGTATTCCAAAAAAATAAAAAACACGAAATAAAATAACTACTTCAGTCATTGAGTATTTCTGATCACTGGGTCCTATTAATTTACAGTCATATTTTTTGCTCTCTAAATTTCCTACCTAATTTGTAACAGTCAGAAGGAAACCTTCTCCATCCGATACTCTAATATATGTATACTTTATTACATAAATGGTCAGAGGATTGTCATATTAGTATATATGCCAACTATGTTAGCCCCTTAGATTTTAACACGTCGATCTGAAAATTTGCACATGTCCTTCTCTCTCCAAGAAGTTGCTCCTTTTGCGGAATCACCGATTTCCGACCTTTTAGAATATAGCTGACATACTTTCTTTTTTGATAAATTATCTTTCAAAATTTTGGTATGGATTATTGCCCAAAATAACGGCATAATCCACGAAGAGTTGTTGAGATCGAACTACTATAGCATATAGATGTCATATAAAATGACCGATAAAAATCATGTTTTTGTATGGACAACATTTTTATTTAAGGATGTATCTTATCAAAATTTGGCACGGATTATTGCCCATGTTAAAGCTACAATTTTCGAATACATGGTTCATATCGGATCATTATACATATAGCTGCCATACAAATTGTGCGGGATAAGGCAAATTGCCGAAACTAATTGGAACAGGAGAGGAACTGTTCTCAGGTGAGGTCGCATATTGATGCGCTTACAACAACCTGTCAGAAATTGCGTGAAACCCGTCACAACCCATATTTATGTCGATTACGACTCATTGTTGGAAATTGAGAGGAAACACAGCCGCAAGTGAGAACCTATGCTTCGAAAAAGGGGTTTTGTTGCTTTGCGTGAGGTTTCTTAAACCCTCAATCATTAATTCCAGTTTTATTAGCAGTAACAAACAAAGCAAAATTCTTACTTAAATGCTTTGTATAAATATTTTTACACCAAACTCCACTGTAAATTTTCGGCTATACATAATTTCTATTTCATGAATAAATGTTCCAAAATTTAATTGGCATTCTCTCTTGTTTTTAATTGCAGCTTACAACGAGTGTAGTTTAATTTGTACTGTAGAACAAATACAGAGCAAAGCTATCGATACAAAAAAAAAAGTATGCAAATCAGTGAAATTTCAACTGAAAGCCGACAAACAATAAAACCAACGCAGAAAATGGAGATACAATTAATTATGCGCCAAAAATGCTAAAAACGCGAACTTATATTTCAAATATTTACAGTAGAGCGGAATAAAAAACAACAGCAAGTAAAGTTGATAAGAAAAAGCTGTGATAAGCAAATTTCAGAAAAGCTAAGAAAATTTGGAATTATGAAAATTAGTGTGGCGCAACAAAAAACACGAAAGAATTGAGAAACAACGCTAAAATAACGGAGCAGACAAACTTTGCGAAATAAAACGGACAAATTCACTAAACGCACACAACAATAATTAGTGGTTAGTGAGAGAAATAAAAATTAGCATAACGTGCTGTTGCAGGCGAAAGTGTAGAAAAAACAACAACAACGACACACATAATAATAATTTGATAAAATAAGCGGCAGTAAATTACACATAAACCGCTTATGAAAATAACGCCGCCACAGTTGTGGCCAGGAGACTAGATAGTGAAAGAAATAGAACAAACGAGACAGTCTCGCAAGCAACTTGCAGCAGCCAAAATTAAAAACACAAAAATAAAATCGGAAAAAAAAGCTTAAACACCACAAAAAGTAGCGCAAAGTGAAAAAATGCGTGCGAAACTTTGCCCAATGGAGATGCGCTTACGCAGCGGTAAAATAAAAATTTGTACTAGAAAATCAATTACATAAACAACAACAACAAAAGAAACATAACAAAAAAAAAAAGGACGCAAATATGCTACCAACACCGAAATAAGCAAATAATAGAGAATCCACAATATTAAAAACATACAAAAAAAAAAAAACAACAACAACACAGGCCAAAGTGTGAATACAAAGTTGGCTAAGCTACTTGGCTGACGTGACAGCTAATGGCAATGGCCGCGCAACGCGCACATAAATGGCTAAAATTCTGTACGCGAACTGAGCAGTCACTTAAGCGCGCCTCGGCAGCCGACGAGACGAAAAAACGCGAGTCTATCGATTTTTGTGTGAGTCAATGTAAGTACAACAAAAAAAACGAACAACTTATGCCACAACAACAATTAGTTGTAGGAAAAAAGCGAATAATTTCCTGGGGTTTCTGCTACAAGTATATAACATATAATATAAACTAGGAGTATATATATGTATGTGTATGTTTGTGTGGTGAAAAGTGAAAGGGGAGCAATAAAACTTTGATTCGCTCATTATTATTAAGTTTGCCTTATAAAAACAATAAGCGCAGCGTGATAACTAATGCCAAGTTCCGAATGCTGGGCATTGTAGATCAGCTGTATATATATATGTATATGTATCTCCACAGTAAGTGTGTAAGTAAAAGTTGATGAAGAGTGCACGAGTAGTTGAAGTAATAGTAGTTTATCAGTTGTTGGCGGTAAAGTAGGCAAAATGGATTTACTGTTAGCGCATTAAAACTTTTATTAGAGCAAATCGCATACGCGCGAACATTGCAGTTGTCGGCGTTTTGCCTTAGTTACTAGGAACCAGAAACTAGTTCATAACTGGTACATTTTGTGATAAATAAAATTAGATTGATTTTGAGCAAGAAAAAAATTGACATTGAATTTATAATTGTAACGTGTGATTCTTTCAAAATTTCAACGTTTATTTGAGAAAAAAATTACTATATACTCTATGACATTTACCCATCTTTCTGGCAATTTTTGGACTCCATCCTAAAAGAACTGCGCTGGTTTGGCGACCAAAAATGAATCAAGCCAATTTTAATGTGAATCTTATTCCAGTGAGAAAGTTCTGCCTTAATCGGAACAAATGCTAGTCAGCAGTAGCAGATCTGGGCTATAAAGTGGTTGAAGCAATACTTGCAATCCGCTGTTTAAATAATAGTTTTTAACCGGTCTTAAAAAAAGAGGGCGAGCGTTGTCATTTCCTTTCCTTTTTTGGCAATTGCTTGCTCCAATTTGATGATATGTTGTCGGTAGCGTTCTCCATTAGTGGTTTCATCCGATTTTAATAGCTCAAGCATCATGAATATTCGGTTTTAGTACTGATTTAGCTGGATGATTAGGTTTCTCATTTGATTTAAGAAGAAGCTATCGCAAAGAGAATTGAGAATACAGGTGATCTGACATATTTTAAAATTAGCAGTTCTAAAGCGTCCTTGTCTTATATCACTTCATAGTCCATGAATCTTAAAGAAATTAATAAGCATATCGGTACTTCTATAGCTAAATCGGGTAGAGCAAAATACTAATTTTGGTTAGAATGTCTCTGTGTAACCAATGTAAACACCTCACTGAATCGTTTCTGAGAACTTAAGCTGCTTTGGCCTTGAGCCTCGTTAATTACTTTGCTTTTTCAGTACGACTTTTACTTCGGTCTAATCATAGGATAAAACTTTTTTTTACCTTATAGTATCTCATCATACCAATTGTATTATTGGTAATGCTTGTTATCCAGCCTTAAATCGAGAAATATCATATATATTGACCTTTAGTTTCATCCAGTCACTATGAGACGGTTAATACCACAATTGTCGGGATAATTTACCAAAAATTTAACTCAGACTTAAGCGATATATTCGTGTTTGACTTAGACCTTAACAAAAAACAAGTAATTGTCGATAATAACATTCCCTAGGTATTGAAAAACTTTCGGAAAAATCTTAAGCTGCCGACTATAGGTTAGGAAATCGCCTTAAGTCGATCAATTCAATAAGATAATTATCTTCAAAAATATTGTTGGCCTCTGAGGTCTTTCTTTGTGAAGGAACTACTTATTAAATTTGACTCAGAAGTTACTTCTTCCATTTAAACTTATTGATTTTACGATTAGTTATTAAAATGTGTGCAGTCTTTTCTTGTAGTCGACCCTAAGAAGGAAGTAGTAAATATCTTCCACCTTGCAGAAACTTGCTTACAATACATTTCTTCGCAGACGACTTTGAAACTATTGCATATTTTATCTTAGTAGCTAAAAAGTAAGCAAACACTACAAGTAGCAAGGGAAAGGATTTCAAAAAATTAAAAAAAAAAATATATTACTTATAGTGATACCGAAAGCGTCTTATGGTCGAGTTTTTGCATTTTATTTATATTTTTTTATTATTTGCGCTGCAGGTACTAGTCCTCTTTTGATTGCATTATAATCCAGCTTGGCCTTTAGGTCGACCTATATCGAAATTGTGAATCCCAAAAGTATGCAACAATACTTCTGTGCCCCATGCAAATAAACATTTTCATGTCACATTTGAGAAATATTCGTTTCATGAAAACAAGTTCAGGTAATTTTCACTAGATATCTACTAAAGTAGTGAACCCTAAAAGTGTACGATACAATATTCCACAGCACCATAGAATTTTCAGAAAAAACTGTCTCATGTCAGAAACGCTTCATCCGAAAGCAATCATCGACGATCTTTCAAATCGTAAACAGTCATCACACTCGGTAGGTGGATAGAACTAAGCGTAAACCCACTAGTCGCATCATCTATATAGCATATATACCACCTGCTTTTATATAAGTTTGAGCACAGTAAGCTTTAAATACTTTTCTGCGGCCACTTGCAGAACTCTTAGAAATAATTAAAAATTTAAAGCAACCTATCAACCCGTTATATAACACCCACAGCTGTATTGAATTTGTTTAAATGCTTTTACAGCCTTGTTAACACCAGAGACTCTTAACCACACACGCACATACTTAAGTAAATGTATGCAAGCTTGCGAGCTTATGCTTAAGAGCACATGTATATATGTATACACTTATATTATATACATATATATATATATACACTCTTTACTGCTCGCATATGTGTGCGTGTTTGCTTACACCTACAAAACTTTGAAAGTCGAGCAAGTTGCTGCTCTACCCACGAGTGCTGCCAACAGGCAAACGCTGCAACAACGATACAACAACAACAATAACAACACTTTTCTGCCTGTCTCTCTAATCCAGCAATTTGTTCAACATCTTCCACTTTACTTGGCTAACTACTTAAGTGGGAGAGTGGGTGTGCTCGAGTGTGTAACTCTGTGTGTGTAAGTGTGTGGGTACTCAGTATAAATATACAGTTATTGCGCCAGTGTCCTTGTTGTCTACTTTCTACTTGAATTTTCATTTAATTTCCACGCATGTGTTTAATGTGTTTTTAATTTACTTTTTGGTCGCTAGATAAACGCTGTTGGCGATCCGTCGCCGGTTGCAGGGAAAGTGAACGCTGCAAAATACTTCCCACTCAACTGTTGGGTGCTTCAAATAGTTAAATGTATACACGTACGCGTTCGTATGCGCCGATGTGTATATTATATTTATTGGTTTGCATGTGTATGTGTTTGCTTTATAAGGCAATTGGGGGCAAAAATTTATCTAAATTCTGTTTTTTGTTAACGATACAAACCTACATACGCACGTTCTCTCTCTCTCTCTCTTTTGGCCACCTTCCTTCGTTGTGACCCTCGTGTACAATCTGCACATACGTTTTGCGTTAACGAGATTAGATAAGTTAACGGCATCTAATGTCAATTTAATTATGTGAACTTCTACTGTGTATCCGTTTCCCATGTGGCAAGGATGTCTAAACAGGCCTTACTTATGTGTGTGTGTCTAAAAGTTGCTTGAATTTTATACGCACGACTACAAGGCACATAGTTGCAATTTCGTACCCGACCCAAACTCGGCACATAACACTACATATATACAACACTGCATTATTGGTGTATTTGTAATTTGTTTTCTTCTCTGTAATTGCCGTTTGTTGTCGCTAGCTCATCTATTTATTTATTTATCGATTTGATTGCTCAAATTAGTTCAAATGTAATTATGTTCTTGTAAACGACGGGGGTAAAAGTCGAATTCGTCAAAAAGCAATTGATAATTGCCGGATTTACTTACATACACAGCACTAAATATATATATATAAGCATTCGGAACACTTTGCTAACACTTTAAGAATCTTGTAAAAGCGTTAATAAATTTTTAAGTACAATGTATATATTTAAATTTAAATGATTACTTAATTCAAATAAATTTCAGATTCAGGTTCACTAATCGCTCAATAGTTCAGTTACTTTAAAGGTCGTCAGTTTAAACGACATTGTTATTTTAGTCCTTATTTGCATTCTCGAAGAAGTAGAAATTAACTATTTGAAGGTTACTGTGTAAAATTGAAACCTTAAATCATCTAAGTTACAAGTTACAACGTTTCTCAAAGGCTTTCATTGATTGCATACATTTTATCGCATGTTGTCAAACGTACTAAAGCGACAATTGCGCTGTACACTAAGAAATCTCTTTATGAACTATAAATCTCTCACTATCTTCTTCTATTTTTTCCAATATTTTTACTTTTGTAAATGATTTCATGAACGCAGATAAATTCTTATCTTAAACTACAAGCTTGCAGGCTTTTCAAGAATATTCTACCGAAAATCTAAACACAGTGGGGCACAAAATATTAGTCCGAAAAACAAATTTTCAAATATTTGAAGATATGTTCGCACAAAAAAAATGTGCAAAGTAGGCTTTAGATAACTTTGAAAACGTTTATTATTACGCATAAAATAAAATTGTCAGCAGGCAAGTCAATAAAGACAGCTGGGCTGAAATCTCTTTTGCCTAAGGATTTCTCGCGTGATCTGACTACTTCATGTGAAACGATATCGACTTACCTTTGACATATACCCATATGTTTGCTGCCTGAAAATCAGACGACGGGTTGGAATCAATATTTGGTGAGATCGATATATTTTCCACACTTTTTAGTAGGAAAAATGTTAGACTAATCGATATTAGATTTTGGCAATGAGTAATTTTTCTTGCTCGGTTTCGATGTAGCCTTGGCCTCGTGCCACCAACTTGCTGTGTACTCTACAGACACACAGCTAACAGGTAATAACCAGGTGGGGAGACAATAAGTCTACACTTACATGCAGCTTATCTAAATCTTTAATCAATGATGAGATTGTGACGATATAAAATAAATATAAAAATAGATTGAAAGTTGAACAATGCACTGCGACTTTTAATCTGTTGTGACT